GCTACGATTATTGGACATAAACCATGAAACCAAGATCTTGCAAAGATTCAACCAGGTACTGGAATAGCTGTATTTTAAAATGCAGATGACTGCCTCATTGTCGTTGAAGGAACAGAGCAAGAAGGCCATGCACTGGAATTCTAATAATACAGTGAGAAGAACAAAGTTAAATCCAGAAAGTGACTTCATCATCATCAACTGTTAAGGCACATGCTCTCATTGGAAGTACTGAAGGCAGTACAGCAAAGTCAAGACCATCAAAGAAATACTGGCTATAGTAGATGCAAATGTGGTGCAACGATTCATAGGGAGGATAAACTTCCATCCAAGTTCTGTCCCCATTTGGTAGCAATAACAAAGTCTCTATGCCAATTTATAAGGCAGAATGAGTGAGACTTTGCTGCACCATAAAACCATTTGACAGAAAAAAAATCAGATTAGATTGCTTTGTCTGGAAATACTACCCGCCACTATACAAGATATACTTCAAAGAAAGGATTGGGTGTAATTCTGTTACAGGGACAGTTTCCTATGCCAGCAGAGCCCTGTTGGAAGCTGAATACGCTAAGCAGAAGTAAAAAACAAAACAAAATACTGTTGGTGGTGGTATGAGTAGAGCAATTCCTCCAATATGTCTATGGCCACTCTCTACTAGTACAATCTTACCACAAATGACTCAACATTTATGGTTAAGCCTCTCACTACCACCCCACAAAGAAGCAAATGTTGCTTCTTTCTGGTGCTACCAGATACTGTCTTGGGCAGCTACTGGTTTTGAGTGACAAGTGGTTGAGTGGTTTTGGCAAGACGGAGCACGGTGACCAGGACATTCAGTTGGTAAATATGGTGCCCTTGCTAATTGAAGGTACAAAGCAGCAAGTCAGCATGCTCAGTTGCAGGATTGGGGCCTAACTTCTGGACCATATCCTAAATACCTTCCTTAAAGAAACTCCCATTAAAGTCAATCAGAACCAGTGTAGGTGTTCAACACATTCTAAAAAAAAAAAAATCAGACATTTATTTAGAGTAACCATAAAATGAGGAACTTGATTTTAGGCACATTAGATATAAGATGTTACTTTCATCATACACCAAGGACTTTGGGATCTGGCCATCTGACTTCTAAATCTGCCCTACATGTTCAATGGACTGCTAGTGAGAAGCTGTGGCAGTTCTCAGGGTATCCAGGACTGAGAGTCACATTGTTATTCCCCTGCCTCCAGTAAAGGAAGAATTCCTTGTGCTTAACTGAGTGTCAGTTCCCTAATACCACCAGCCTGTTAGCCACCCAAACAATCGCCTCTGGACTATGCCAGGCCTTACTTTTGTTTGCAGGTTAACAATAGGTGAACCCCAGCTCCAAGCCCCCTTTGAAGTGTTCCTGTACAGTATCCAGCCTCTTATCTAGTGAACACTCACAGTAATACCAGGTCTGCTGTCCCCCAGGGAACAGTGTACACACAAGCTTGATTGATTCAACTCAGGATGGGGTCCTTGTATAGTGTCTCAGTGTTGTGGTAAACGTATAGTGAAAACAACAAGTTTATTATCAAAGATTCAAGAGATGAGTAAGGAGAATGTAGCTCTTTTGTTTTCATATAAAACAAAATCATAATGCGATTTTTAGAACTAAACTTAACTGGCTAACCTTCTGTCTAAAGAAGTTTATCTCACTCCATATGTCCTTTGCAGTGCCTCAGCCAAATCTGGTTGAGATCCAGTTTTCACTAATGTAATTACATTGTGTGATTATAGTGTAAGTGTGATGGGTTCACCCCCAGGGTGCCACCTGAAACTGGGGTACCACTCAGCCCACCTGACCTATCAACCTGGGTTCCCTCTTCACTGTACTGCTGTGACCAGCCTGTCAAGCCCTCTGCCGGGCTCCAGTCTCCACCTTCACTATCACACATACAGGTAGGGACACACCCAGCTCTGCATGGGAAGGCTTTAGCTAAGGAACTGTCCAGTATTCAAATGCACAAACACACACCCTCTGGAGGGTAAGCCCAAAATTAGATAGTCTTGTGCTGCACAGAGAACAGTACAGCGTAAGCTCATGGAATTCACCCTCTCCCTCAATGTGGAGAGGAATATACACAGCTTTCTGCTCCCAGTTATGATTTCCACACACTGGTTTGTGATAAAACAAACAAATTTATTAACTACAGAAGATAAATTTTAAGTGATTATAAAGGATAGCAAACAGATCAAAGCAGATTACCTAGCAAAAACACAATCTAAGCTTAATATACTAAAGAGATTGGATATGAAGCAACTTCGCACCCTAAATGATGATTTATGCTGGTTGCAGGGATTCTGAAGGAGCCAGCTGCCCTTGCTTGCAGCTTAAAAACCCCAGGTATTCGTTTCACAGGCTAAAAAAACCCTCTAGTCTGGTCCAACCCTTCTCCCCCAGTCCAGTCCTTGTTCTTCAGGTGTTTCCAAGAGTCTCCTTTGGGCAGGGAGTCAGTGAAGAACCATGATGATGTCACTCCCCTGCCTACATAGCTTTTGCATAGGGCAGAAACCTTTTGTCTCCAAGCTTGGTTCCCATGCTCGATCAGTGGAAAAACACTGGTTTTCCAAAATGAAGTCCAGAACCAGGTGACTTGGTCACATGTCCCTGTAGGGTCAAAGCAGCCATGACTTGGAGGCTGTTTGTAGCCTCCTCAGGAAGGCTCCCTGGTGGGAGATAAACTTCTTCTAAGGCCTATTGTTCTCCATAATGGCCCTTCCCAGCCAGCCAGCCACCTAGACTGATTGCATACTGCCTAGTGGGCATTCCCCAGGTGTAAACACATTTGTAATAGATGCATAGACAATATTCCTAAATTCAGATACCAAAATGATACATGCATACAAATAGGATAATCATATTTGTAAATCATAACTTTTTCAATGATATCTCACATGATCTATCTTGGATAAAATACATCATAGTTATGCCATAATCATTTCATAATATCATCTCTATGAAGAATATGGGGCATACTGTCTCATTAAGTACAGGAGAAAGGGGTGTTTTCCTTGCCTTCTCCTTATATTCCCCAAAACTTATTATCTGGATCTCAGAGTCAGGATTCTCCTCCATAGCTTATTCTCTGATATGCCCCCCTCCCTGTTGATTTCACATTCCCCCCTGCTGACTTCATATGTAAATGACTCCCCACTGTGTCACCTTACAATAAGTGGACCAAGAGAGATAGGTGATAAAAACATGTTTTATCTGGCAGAAGCCTGTTTGTCAACTCTGCCTTCCTACAGGCTTTAGGAACATATTTTCATAGTATCTGTACCTACATTTCATGACATTAATGAGCAGCATGACCCTGGCTTTCCTTTAACACCTCACAAGACAGTCTTTGGTGAACCAGAATGGACACACCAGGATCAGGATATTCTTGTATCCACCTTGCCAGCTGGCACTAAGGGGCTCATGGGTCACAAGAGCACATGCAGGGTTTCTCCTGTACTCACTGCTCGTGCTGGACACCGGAAAATGTGGGTGGGCCGGGATGGGGACACCATACAGACACCATGTGGACAGGTGCTAAAGTCACCCCTCCCTCCATTGAGCTGCCTCTTCCCCTTCCGTTTGTGTTGTTGCTACTTGTAAAGGATTGTTTAAAGTCACTGTGGCTCATTTGTCACAGCAAGCATGGGAAGAGTTAGTTGCTCTGTAGCTGAGCACAGGCATGAGCTGAACTAGGGTTGCCAACTTTGTATTTGAAGAAAACCAAACACCCTTGCCCCGTCCCCTGCCCCACCCCTTCTCCAAGGCCATGCCCCGGCTCACTCCAACCCCACTCCCTCTTCCCCCACTTACTCGCTCATTTTCACCAGACTGGGGCAGGGGTTGGGATGTGACGGGGGTAAGGGCTCCAGCTGAGGGTGTGGGCTCTGGGGTGGGGCCAGGATTGAGGAGTTTGGGGTGTGGAAGGAGGCTCTGGGCTAGGGCAGAGGGTTGGGGTGTGGGAGGGCTCCATCTGAGGGGTGGGGCCAGGGATGAGGGTTTTGGGGTTGAGGAGAGGGCTTCAGGTCGGGGAAGGTGGTTGGGGCTCCAGCTGCGGGCTCAGAGGTAGGGCCAGTAATGAGGGATTTAGGGTGCGGGTGGGGTGAGGGCTCCAGCTGGGGGTGCGGGCTCTGGGGTGGGGCCAGGGTTTGGGGTGCAGGAGGGGGTATGGGCTCTGGGCTTGGGGTGCAGGAGGGGTTTCAGGGTGCAAGCTCTGGGTGGCACTTGCCTCAAGCAGCTCCCAGGAAGCTTCTGGCTTCTCTCTCTGGCTCCTAAGCGGAGGCGCGCCCGCATGATTCTGGGCGCTGCCCGTACCTACCGGCACCGCCCCCTCACTCCCATTGGCCACGGTTCCTGACCAATGGGAGCTGCTGAGCTGGCGCTGGGGGTAGAGTGCAGAGCCCCAATAGCTGTCCCAAGAAACCAGCAGCTTCCCAGGAGCCGTGTGGAGCTTGTCCTGCATCGCCAACCGGACTTTTAACAGCCCAGTCGGCAGTGCTGACCGGAGCCGCCAGGGTCCCCTTTCGACCGGGCGTTCCGGTCTAAAACCAGACTCCTGGCAACCCTACGCTGAACCCAGCCGGGTGCCCGAATCCCTCTGCACCCTGCTGCGGTGGCGCGGAGGGGCTGCAGGGCGAGGCAAATCCTGCCCGCTCTGTGCCAGTGCAGCAGTGGATGGAAGGAGTCAGTTCAGGGCTCCACCTCAGGGTTAAGTACAGGCCAGAGCCTGCGTGGCCAGGGGCACTTGTGAGACTCCGAAACAGGGCCCTGAGTGACTGGGAGGGGGGGCTCCCCACCAGCTCCTCTGAGGGCGCTTACTGCCCCTCCCCCAATCCCATGAGCGCCCCCACTGAGAAGCCGCCTCAAGCCGCGAGCGCGGCCCGCGCGCCTCAGGGGCGGGCATTGGCTCGCCCCCAGGCCTGAAGGGAGCCCGGCTCCTCCCAGCATGCCCCGCGGCGGCGACCGACCGGCGCTGCTTGGAGACCGTCACTAGGGGCGGGGGGATGCCGCTGGCTGGTGTCAGGCGGCTGCACGGAGCGGGCGGGCGGAGGATGCAGCGGCGGCGGCGGCTGGAGGAGCGAGGAGCCATGCAGCGCTGTACGCCGGGGTCCCGACCGCAGAGCAGGCGGAGCGGGGGCGCCTTCACCACCCTCCTGCTGACAGGTTGGTCGCAACGGCTCCTTCACTGCATCGAACAGGCGCGGCCCCGCTGTCCCCCCTTGAGCCCCTCGCCGGCCGCCCCAAACCCCGACCCGCCTCGCCGGCCGCCCCTCAAGCCCCGGCAGCGGCCCCCTCGAGCCCGCCTTGTTCCCTGCGGCCCCCCATTCACTGCCTGCAACAAGGACCCCACTGCCTCCAGGGCAGCGACTCCTCGATACCCCGCAGCAGCAGCAGCGGCTCCCCTTTTAAATCTCCCACCTCCCCTTCAAGTAGCGGCGCCCACAGTCCCCTCCCCGCGAGCAGCTTCGGCCCCTGTAATCCTGCCTGGCCCTAGCAGGCAGCCGCCCCTGCGATCATCAGCTCATTACGGAAAAAGAGGAGTCTCTGCAGCAAAGCCGGTCTCAGAGCCTCGGTGTCAGTGCATCGCCCTGTAGGACTGACACAGCCCCAACTGCCCCCTCCCCTAGGCTTGTGCTGACGCTATAAAACAGCAGCCTGACGCTATAAAAATCTACAGCAATGCTAGATGTGATGGCCACCTTCCATATAACATATTGCTGGCCAGCCCCTCCCCATCCCAACCACTGCACCGGGAGTAACATGCCCATTTTAGGAGTAGTTGTCACTTTGGATATGACGTACGTGGGAGAGAGGTACCCTCATGCCACAGTAATGAATATGGTATGCATGCCTCCATAGATTAACAGGCTCTAGGTAATCATGTCAAGAACAAGAGATGTGATGCATGAAGAGAATTCAATGGCACAGTCATTTAAAAGAGAGCCCTGTACTCAATTCTGGTAGCGAGCATAGAGCTAGTTCTATTGACGGCGACAAAGAGTGTGTTTTTCTGTCGCCTCATGACCTCATAGGATTTGCAGACGCTTCTTCGAGCTCTGTTTGAAGCAACATACATGTTCTGCCATTGTGCAAATAATTATATACAAGACAGACTTAAGAATATTATGGTCCCACCAGTGTCAACCACTCAGAAGTTAGAGCGCCAGAATTAAGGTTGTACAGCAACTTTTATTCTGCTCCTTCCTGCATATGTTTGTAACAGTCTTTAATCACATGATCATACTATTTTCAGAGTCCTGTCACAAAAAGTATTGTCTCTTTAAGCAGAGACATTTCGTATGAAGGAAAGTGTTAGGCCACCCTACCAAAAAGATTAAAGGAGTGCAGCCACTCCCATAAACTTTATCATTAGGGTACCAGGATTTTGCAGTGAAAAAAAGTATATAGCTGTTTGGCATGGTGGTTTTATCACATAGTTTCTCTGTCCCTTTGTTGTGATCAAAAGTTTATTTGCATTTAATTCTCTCGAACTACGAAGCAGTGGCATTTGGGATCACTTACCTTAACTATGATAAGTACCACATGCATTAAAATATTTAAAAGTATGGGCTCAGTGTGCAGGATATAAGTGGTGTAGTCAATGAAGGGTTAACTTCAGAAGGAATAAATTACATAGAATTAAAACATTAGCATTTGTTTTTAAATCTAGTACTTCTAAAGGTTTTTAGGAGTGGGAATGTGGAAAACTAACCCATTCTAGGCTTTACAGCCTTGCTTTATTCAAAGAGTCTGACAATGTAACCCATGTGAGCAAGGTATAGGACACAGTTGTGGGCAACTATGTGTGGTTTAAAAGACTGCATCATAATAAGAGCTGTATCTTAGCATGCAGATGCCATTTATTTACATTATAGCAAACTTGTGTAATACTGTATTTATTGCAGTATTAGCTTCATTTACTTGTTTCTTCAACTTTATAAAAAGGGGTGGCCATACTGTGGCTCGTGAGCCACATACAGCTCTGTTACAGTGAAAGTGCAGCTTGTGGCGCCCCCTCGCCGCGCCCCCATTCTCCACCTACCAGACTGGTGCAGGGGGAGCTCAGGGCATCTGTCCTGCAGCAGCAGGGTGATGGGGCTAGAGACTTCTGCTGAGGAAGGAAGGGGTTCTCAGGGCTTCAACCCCACAGGAGGTGCCTGCTGGTGCTTGGAGCTTCAGCAAGAGCAGGGCTGAAGCCCTGAGCCCCAGCAGGCACGCCCAGCTCTCAAACTTCTGAAGGTTATTGTTTGTGGCTTGGAGGATCAGTTAGTTTGGCCACCCCTATTACAAAATATGGCTATAGATGTCATCCTATGCTCTGAGTTCATACACAAGATACAGAACTGCCCATAAGGTAACCATCCCATACCTCTCCCTCTTTAATAGTTTAAAGGATTTTTGCTGAACCTGAAAGATTAATAAATCTGGCCTCTGGTGACCACTACTCTATGGAGTTCAAAACAGAAGACCCTCAGTTATCAAAGAGACTTTGCCTTAGGATTCTCTGCTGATCTCAACTCAGGTAGCATGTCACAGATAGTTTGTCCTCAGATAACGAGGGCTTATCTCATTCAGGGTTATATATCTGAAGATATTCACTTAATTCTGAATTCTTATTTGCACATCAATCAGGCTTTTGGAAGCCATTCAACATCCCCTAATACTCTGAAGCATTGTTTTGTTTTTAAATTGCTCTTAACCTGTGCATGCAACATCTACTGATACTAGTTGATGGTCTGCATATTGATTAAGGGCATTGCTTGAAGTGTTGTCTTCTGCAAGTTTGGGTAATTAAGATTTTACTCTCTCCTTTAGTTATAGCTGTTGATCTGCAATAGCACAAGTCCAGGCTCTTTTCCTTTTTGCTTCTTTATGATGTACAAATAACAAAGATTTAAAAAAAGCTTATTTCAGAAATAAAAGGTCTTATTTACCCTGGAAAAAGCATGTTGACTTGAAGTTATATCATTTCAGACTAAAAGGTGAAAGGATATGGGATTTTTAGTTACTGTTTCAAGGAGTTTTTTTGTTGACATTTAATTCCACTGGCTAATGAACTTTAAGATTCAGAACCCTCGATTTCTTCATTTGAGATATGAGAGTTAACAGTGGCCATCTGTGACCTCTTCCCCCTGCCCTTGGAAGTCCTCCAACAAAGCCAGGGAAGATGAGACTTGACATTCTTGATATTGTGGTAGAACAAGCTTTAAAAATGTTTGTAATTTCAAAGAACTACTAATTCAATAATTGCTGTTAAAACTAGACTGCATTTTGAAATCATGATTTCAGACATGGGGAAGAGAGAGTTTACTAGAGACTGAGATAAAGACCTCTACATTATCCCAAGATTAAGCCTTATAAAAATTTTCAAAGAGAGAAATCAAGTATAAATCAGTCCTATTGCCTTTAGGCTCAGATTAAGGGAACCTGGCGCCGTAGGCACACATCCCCTTGTGGCTGTTCCCTTGCAACCTTGTCCCCATTCCACAGCCCTGGCATTCCCCAACCTGCTCTACTTGGAGTGGTGGTGCAGGGGCTTCCTCCCCTCTAGTAGAGGCAGGGATAATAATATGGGTTCCTCGGGAACAGCAAGAAGGGTCCCCTCCCCCTTTGGAGAGGCGGTGGCAGAAACATTAGACCCCCAGTATTTACTCCAGAAGCTGGGGCGTATCTGCTTATGAAACTGGGCTAGACCCACTGCACTCTTCTCTTCCTACCACAGAATGATCACTAGAATAATGTTTGCAGGACCACACAAGCAGTGGACCGGGTCTTGGGAATAACACCCACTGAAAAGAATGGAGTAGTTTGCACTTTCAGAGCTACTGTTTCTGGCCATCTGTAGATTCAGACATCACCACAACAATTAGTTAGTTTCCTTTTTTCAAGGTTTTCTTTGCACCATGAGGGCTAGAAATTTAAGTAGGAGTTCAGATTCTTACTTGCATGACTTAAGGAGGAGCAGCCCTAAGCAACTAGTGCTCATGCCTTAATCCATCCCATATTGTCCTTCCTGCGGACATAACTCATCATAAAAAGAATTGATTGGTATCTCAAGGTTGTATATTAATCAGATAAGTAGATACAGAAGGGTGAGTCTTTACAATAGTCATCTGGTTGGCTTGACTGCAATTATGGAATAAAGTTTCTTTTGTTTGGGTGGTGGCATAATTTAGATTGAAAAAATTACAGACTATTTTGGATAGTTGAAAGGTGGATTTACAGTTTCTAATCAAACCGAGAAGTGTCATCATATAATTAAAAGACTCTTTTCCCTCAGATACTTGAAGAAAGCATAGATGTCTAAAACTCCCTAGTGACATTTTCTTGCATTTGTTTTTTATCCATTAGATTTGTCTTTTTCCCCAGTTTGAATTAAAATAGCAACTTTGTAAACTTATCCATTCTCATAAGAATAAAAAAGTAAACTTTGTAGTATAGAAAGAAATATTAATATTTTAGAAGCATATGCAGAAACTAAAGAGCCAGTAACAGATATCCTCCCTGCACCCAATGCCCCTTAAACCAGTTGAATGGTTTCCTCCCATAAAGCATTAGATAAAGGGGATAGTGACTAGGATTGGAGAAAACCTCCTCTTAGCAACCTCAATTTTACCTGGGAGCCCCTGAAGCAAAAGATAATTTAAGGTTATCATAAATTTTCAGTTTGTTTATTTTTACAGTTGACAATATTTACTGTATTATAGCCAGTTACTTGTGCTTGTGTGTGGTTTTTCACATCGCACCAGAGGAGAGGAAACACACATTTTCAGAAGTAGTAAAATGTGAGCATAAAAATCACATGTCATGGTAGAGGAGGTAGGCCAGATGTAGTATGTGAAAGTGGCTAACTTTTTTAAAAATTAGGGAGACTTCAAGTTGATAGTGAACATTTAAAGGCTATTAGTATGTTGTAATTAAACTTCAGAAATTCTTATTTGCTTTTATCATGGGGTAGGCTCTCTCTTTCTGGTAGTAAAAAGTTACAAAATAAATAAACTCTTAAATTCTCTCTTTTCCAGGGTATAATCAAAGTCCAAATAAATAGCCTTACCTTTGTAAGATATAAACCAACTCCAAAAAATAACATCCTCTCCTTTGGGGAGAATAACTATCTTAAAAACACAGCTTTTAGTTCTTTCCTTCTAATCTGGCCATGTCTTGTGTCTTCCTTCATTTATACATAGCAGCTGTGCCAGGTAAGTGCATGAGGTCCAGCTGCATGTACTCTTCAGCCACTTAACCATTTCCTGTTTGACTCCACAACCCAGCAGAGTTATCGTGGACACAATATTGATATGCAGAATGTAAATATAAATTGTTCTGAAATTAATGTAATTATAATATTTTTGTGTAATATCAAGCGAGGTATTTGAAGTACCAGTGGGGGTTGGATAGTATATATACCGTGCCCCACTTGAGGATTTAACAATTTTAAGGTGGTATGATTTATTTTAATAATAAAATTAAATGCTCAGGAAAAGTCTGGAGGTACTGTCTTTGAAATGATGTGTTCCATGTTTATTTAGCCATTAGCTTCTTTACTGAGACTTATCAAATGTGTAATGATGATTCTGTGAATTGAATATCCACATACAAGAAACTGAAACTAATGAAACTACTTCTTATTGGCCACTGAACAGCTTTCCAATTCTGTCAACTTTTGGTCATCACCAGCTTGGCTGGACTTGAACAAATGATGTAGATGTGAAATGCTTTTATCTTATTTCGAAGTCCTCAGAGACATCCAGTTTCCTTATAATTAAATAAGGGGAGTGAGAGTTAGTGGAGTAAGTGTGTCAAGATGAGAATAACAACAATTTTAAAAAATACACTAATTATGCAGACATTTCTTGACATTGATTGCTTCTGTTGACTTTACTGTGTTTTTATTTAGTCCTTTAAACCCATTACCATCTTCCAAACCTGAAAATTCTTTGTTTGTTTCTAGTCTAAGAGCTGCTGTAATATAGATCAGCTGGTGATAGTGCCAAGAGGCCATCACCATCTGGGGATTGTTGTCACATAGCCTGCCCTGGCCATACCCTCACCCCTCCCCACCTCTGGATTCCAGAGTGTATGATGGGCAGGAGCCAGTTACATTGGTTTTTATCAGTGTGGGATTAGGGGTTTGTGGGGCCCTGGGCCAGAGCAAGTGGGAGCCCCTCCCCCCCCCCTTCTGACTGCAGTTGCACTCCTCCCTGGCACTCCTGCCGGGGAAATGGGGTCAGGGCACGGGGGCTTGTCCTGCCCCGCCTGCCTGGCACTCCTTCCCCCACACCCTGACCCTGCTCCCCTGCAGGAGCAACATGTGGGCGGACGGAGTGGGGCAAGTCCCCGTGCCCCAATCCCACTCCCTGACAGGAGCAGCAGGTGGACAGAGCTAGGCAAGCTCCCGCGCCCTGATCTCACTCCCTGGCAGGAGCGCTGGGCAGAGCGGGTCGGGGCATAAGAGTGCCCAACTGGCCGGGGCCCTTGAGCACAGGCCCCATTGGCCCAGTGGCTAATCTGCGGCTGGTTTTTATACCTGCATGGAAGATCTGACCAGTTTCTTTTCCCTTTTCACTATTAGTAAGTATTAGCTAAGACATTTTAAAACCCTAGTGTAGCCAGCACAAGTAGAATTTAAATGTTAGCACGTTTTTATCCTAGTGTGGCCCACCTTTCCCTCCCATCCTGGACTTTATTCTGGTTCTTCAGTGATGGGGCTAGAATTTACCATTCCCTTCTCCCCTTGTCCCATCCACCCTGCTGCTGCTTTCCATTGAGCTGCTGGAGAGAAGGGAGAAAAAGTCATGTGCCAGAAGAGGTTTTGTTTTAAATAAATAAAGGGGGATTTAATGTGTGGGGTTTGGCCCCCTAGCCCATTTACAATCAGTCATCCCTACTCTCACCTTTGGGTCCCAGGCAAGAAGCTACAGCTTGACATTACCTTTAAAAATCAGACAAAAACAGTTTAACTTCATTTCAGAAGATTAATGCTTCTCCTTACCCCCAAACTGAATACATGCAAGGTTGTTGATTGTAACCTACCCATTTCCCATCACATGATGTCCTTCAACTTCTTTAAGACATCCTTTTGTTAGTAAGTTAATGGGCTGGTTTTTAAAAAAATATCAGTGGTAAACATAACGTTGATTTTGCTATCATTCTGAACTAAATGACCTTTCTGGTAGAAATTACATTGATTTTAAGATAAGTGTTTCATACATTTCGAACAACAACAAACATTCCAATAGTAATATATTGTGGTAAACTCTAAATCACACAGACATTTATATTAACTGTCACAGTAAACACTTTGAAATATAGTATATTTAATTTTTATATTTAAATTTTTTTTGCTTACTTGCATAAACATAATCCTCTATTGAACAATGTATTTGAATTTGTTTTATATTTGTTTTTAAATTCTCATATTATACGTGGCGCATTATTACACTGGATGTGATGTGGCGCACACTTAGTCCCATAATGATTCACTTGGTCTTTGGGGGAAATCTAAATTACTTTGTCTTCAGCAAACTGTTAGCCAATTAATAGTGAGTATTAGCGTGAACTGGGAGTGACTTGTTCAACCTCTTATACCTTGTCTGCATTGCAGTTTACTGGTATACGTATACCAGTACATTATATTGTCAAAGCACTCGTAGTTCAGATGCAGTTTGTACTGGCAAAGTTTCACCTTTGCCAGTATAGTTTTTTCTACACCCTCATTTCCAGAGCGAAACAAACTGTGCTGCTAAAAGTACAGTTTTACAGTATAACTGCATTTGCACTATGCGCTTTTGCTGGTATTGCTGTGTTGGTCATAGATCACATACCATCACACTGTGTCTGACATAGGTAGGCTGGCAGAAGTGTAGACCTGGCCTTATTTGGAGATAGCATGCCAAAATGATGACTGCCAGAGGGATATACAAGCCAGCATCATCTATTTTGTTTATTTCTGTTTCTACACTCTGAAGAAAAGTTGAAAACAAAAGCTGTCTTTAAAAGAATCTGATCCCAGCTAATGGCATTTGATCTGTGGGAGTCTGTTAATCTGACATTAATTCTTTTTTTATTTGCATTTATTTTATTTTGAAAAGCTTTTTTGTTAAGCTCTGCTGAAGGGATAAATGGAACAATTAACTGGAAGACTAAGCAACCCAACAGTTATATTATCAGCAGAATAAGGGCTGCTGAAAAGAATGGTGAGTTTAGGTTGTAAATTTAAATCCCATTGTGGGTTCAGTCAACATCCTCTTTCAATATTACCTTTGCTTTTTCAGTGTATGTTTATTAATAAAATGACATCTCAAGGTAAGTAATTTTGAAAAACAATCTTATAGTTCTTTAATTTTCTAAACCGTCAGGAATCTGTATGTCTTTATGTTTAGTTTCCCTCGGGTTTTTTTTGTTGCCTGTGGCTTTGCTTAAAATAATGGCTGTGTGTATAACCTAATATTGCATATTTTCTTGTCACTGCTGGTTGCTTAAAACATCTTTGCAGTGTGCTTAATGCAATAACTTGTTATAACTCTTAAAATAATTCATTCCATGTTTATATGTAGGAAAAACACAATTTTTATTACTTATTTGTAGGAATACACATAGAATATTGTAGCTGAATTTTACTGAGACCAACAGTTATCTGAGAAAATGCCGGTAACTTTTCATGGATCATCTAGCTAGCTAAAGGATCTGGATCTCCCTAGAGCTCTAGCTATGGCCAGGATCACTCTTACCCAGGGAATCTGGAAAAGGAGCTCTGGAGGAAGAAACTTCTATATGGATTCTCTTCTGGAGATCCCCCACATTCGCTATTGGGAAGAATGGGTTTCCTCCCTCACATGCAGAATAGGCTGCAGACCTGTCACCAAACCTGGTTGATCCTCTGAAATCCATGGGAGAGCAGGGTCATCCACACTGAGATCCTGGTCCTCTTTGCTAGCTCTGGCCTCTGACAGCTCTCAGCCTCTAGGCTCTCTGACAATGCGGTTCCAGTGGGGTGATTTCCTGGCTATGCCTGTCCCCAGGATCTGTGGAGAAGGTGAAAGAACACTACTCATAAGTGGTAATACAGTCTGAGGCAGTGTTATTTTCCCAGGGGAATCCTTACAGGGCCACAGAAAGACAATTTATGTTCCCTCTCCCCTCTGTTCACAGCCTGTCTACTTATCCCCCAGGCCTGTGCAGCTTCCCTTCCCAGCATGTACATCCCAGGATTCACAGAAAGGCCTTCATGAAGTCAGGGGGGAAAGGAGGAGCAAAAACAGTGCAGTGAAGGTCGATGATGCCCCCTACATGCCTTGAGAGCACCTAAACTGGGACCATATATCATGTATGACCATTAGTAAAGAAATTAAATATCCTTTGGTAGCAGGCACAGAATGCTTCCACAGTAGCCCCAAACTTTCCCCTTCCATGACGTGGACTCACACAAAAACAGAATATTTGGCAATCTGGCTCATGGAAATGGCACTGGGAGTTAGTAAGAATGTTCAGTTACATCTTCTGCCAAGTTAGGACAGTTGCACATTTTTCTCCATAATCAGTCAGTCGTAGAAGATTGTTAAAAGGCTGCACAACCTGAAGATAACAGACTATCCATAAATGAGATATTTTTTTGTCAGCTGGAGAGGAAGAGCAAGTGGCATACTGGACCGAAGATTCACCTTCCACTTCCTTTCTCATTTTGAAGAAACATCAGGGGGAGGGAGAGGAAAGGCTGTGAAGGAGAACTTTCCAAATACCAGTCTCCAGAGTTGTGTTATTACAATTCATATGTGGTTATAAGATAAATATCTGTAAGGTCAAAATTCATCCTGTACAATGAATAGAATATATCATTCAAAGTGCACTGAATTATACATAAGTAAGAAAGATGGTTTAGTGGATTAGGTTCTGAACTAGGACTTGGGAGACCTAGTGGAAACAATTCCCAGCTCAGCAACAGGCTTTCAGAGTGGCATGTTAATCAATATATAAGATTGTCAGCCCTCCAGGGTTGTCCTGGAGTCTCCAGGATTAAAAGATGAATCTTCAGTGCAAGATTATGTCATATGATGAAACCTCCAGGAATATGTCCAACCAAAATTGGCAACCCCATCAATGTGCCTTGTGCCTCTGTTGTCCGTCTCTAAAATGGAGATATTTCTGTACCTCACATGAGTGCTATGAGGATAAAATCCATTAATGAGTACAAAGCTTAAATAATATGGTAATGAGGGCATAAGTAAGTAGATAGATAACATGTTAAGATACTAGGGACCAATTAGTGGAACTGCGATAGGAAAATTTAGGGGGGTTATTTTCTCAAAATATTTTAGTTTGCCCTTTAAAGGCAGGGGATTATTGATTAAAACAGAAGGGGAAATGGGATTAATGTGTCTTTTATGGATGCATGTGCTCAATTACATTAGCATTAATGAAGCTAATATATACCCAGAGGGTAGAACTCTACCTTTCAAGGCCCCATCTAGATTAGGAAAATAGAACTGTTTTTTTAACTGTTTTTTAAAAGATGTTTGCTAACACAGTTTAAACACTCTTTTAAACAGGACTTCAACCTTATGGAGAAAGAGCGACTACTGCTTAAATGTGTCAGTTGGTTTTGGTTAACCCAAGACTCCCCCTGGTAACAGTATTAATAATAAAAATGATTATATTAAAATAATTACAATAATACTATAAACTAACTCACAGGGTTATTGTCAGGGTTAACTAATGTCTGTAACGTGCTTTGTAAATTTAAAGCATTGTAACACTGGTAGGCAACTTTTTAAAATAGGACTTTATACTAGGTGCTAATTAGTGTTAAAAACATTAATCCAAACATATCAGTGAACATTTTAAAACACCACTATTTTTTTTCAGTAAAGAGAAACCCTATATTCCATTCCAGCTGTGGGCCAAATTCTAAAGCTGCTTTTAGCATGTTCAATTTAGTAAGGTCATTTTTAGGATTAATTTGTTCCTCTGAAGCTTATTTTTAACTGTCCACCAACTTCATCTTTTTACATCTGCAGAAAGTCCTCAATGGTACACACTTACCTCAACAACAGAATATGTTCCATTATCAGGAGCACCCATTATAGTGTATGTGGCAATATCCAGTAAACTGCCTATTTAAGACATGTCAGAGAAATAATTTTTCTGCAGAAATTCCCCACTGTAGTCTCTCTTATTAATTCTTCTGTAAGTATTCTTTATGGAGAAAGTTTACCTTACCTTTTCATTAATTCTCCTTTTTGAAACTGATCTTTGCTGTAGTATTAAAGTCTCAAGGTATAAAGCAAAGCATCTGGAACAGAAAAATAAATTTTTCTTTAGGTTTCATCAAGTCAGCATATTTTTCTCACCTTTTCTGTTCTGTAAATAATCTTATTAATGTTACAAATTGCTTTTTCAGATTTTCTTGATAGATACAATTTCCTATATAATTCTATTTCCTTGATCTATTTATAGTTTATTTACAAAAGCAAGTGCAAGACTTTATTGGGTCACTAAGGCAAGATGGTGGGTGTACTTACCAACTTTGATTATATGCAGCAAATTGCAGCAAATTGTTCTAGGTTAGTTTAGTTAAATGAAATCTGCTTTAAATATATTAACAATAGCTGATTTATTAATACAGATTTTTTTCATAAAATGTATTTATATTTCAAGATCTTTTGAATTTATTCTTATTGATAAAATTATTATAAGATGTGGCAGTTTAGTATAATTTAATAAAAGCAAAATTTACTCTGGGCAAAGGCAACTGGGATAACCAGGATTAATATATAAATACAATTAGAAAAAGATTGATTTCTGGAGCTCAGTAATATATGTGGCAATTGAAGGTAATAGTCTTAGAAAACCAGCTCTTAATATCTGGTGCAAGGAATAGAATGTTTGTTACTAACTGTTGTTCAGCAATGTTTTTTGGGCAAACATCATGCAATAAGTTTGGCCTAAAGAAAAACTGAAAAAAGAAATCTTGACACAACTGGGTGTTATCAGCAATAAAGGCTTGATCCTGGCAGTGGGTTAAGAGGTAGTGCTACCATGTGGTTGGGGATCCACAACAGTACTGAGCACACTGTGGTGATTCTGCCAGTGCAGATCCCCAGTTTTGCCCAGTGCAGAGAGTTAAGCGCATATGGCCACCATGTAATAGAGATGGTCTACACACACCAAGTGCTGAGAGGGCAGAAGGGGCATGGTGATGGATGGAGTTGTGGCGTGGTGCCACACCCTGTGAAAATGGGTGATCTAGGTGGCAACAAGGGAGTTCAGAAGTGGGCCCCACACCAAACTTTCCTGTGCCTATTAGCTGCAAGCATAGGGGCCTTCTTCACAGACAGGGAATTATAGAGACCCAGCAGCTTCACCACGGGCACCATGGCCCCAAACACATGTAGCTCTGTTGGAGAAGGAGCATGTCTGAAGGCTGGCCAGCCTGTGGTGGCTCCACTTCAGTTAGCTGGAGGACATGGATTCCCCTTTGCTTATATTGTACTGTTCTTTAAAATAGTGAATTTATTTTAGAAAGCTAGAGAGGCTATTTATGATAGTAAATATAACTCACTTTTAACACACAGTAATACAGTAAATATTGAGGCATATGGCATTGAGCCTGTCTTTATATATTTATAATGGGAATGAACACACAGTTTGGAAGATGCCAAAGAACAGAGTTATTAAATCAAAGATAGCAAACTGGAAACACCAAATTTCAAGCACATCTTGTTTAGCTAATGCTTAAAAGAAAAAGGTTCACTAAAATTTGTTTCAAAAGACCATGCATCTTGAAATTAAATATTACATTAGCAGATCTGCTATTTTTACATGCTCTTCCATAGCACCTATCAGAAAGGTATATTGATACTCATTATCAAATAAACTCTATGCTTGGGGGGGTCTACAGTCTTTGGGGGCAGACCCTCCGCTGGCTACATTCTGTTCAGTGTAGTTATGACAGTTTATGAGCTGAGGATTGCCTCTTCATATTTAAAGTGTAGTTTATTTTAATTTTGGTGAAGATGGCATTACATCCTAATGAATCCCAAATTATCAATGAGATAATTAGAAAAAAGTCTTCTAGTATCTGACACTTTTCTTTATCCTTTTTGTGAATGCACTTAATGAGAAATAACTTAAGTCTAGGATGACTATAGAAGATGAAATAATAATTTAAAAAATTGAGAAAAATCTTCAGCATACTATGCATTTAATAATTTATGACATCAGTCTAGGAGTTGCAGATACTCTGTCCAACCCACTCACCATATTTTGCAGCCTGGCTCATGGGAATGACAACTGGGGACTCAATGAGCAAGTTCATTTTCATCCCCTGATAGCTTAGGACGAATGCACATTCTTCTCCAGATTCAGGCAGTTGTAGAAGGTTTTTTTGGTGATTTATAATTTTGCCAGCCCATCTTAATGCCATGAAATGCTGCTTAACATGATGTTTTTCAAAGCTTACCCCTGAAAAGGGCACTGAGCGGGTCTCATTTTGATTGCCATCAAAGCTGTTTTTCATGAGAACAAGTTGTTAGTTCTCTAAAAGAAGGGCTCCCACAATTGTAAATCCAGCAGCTGAACAATTTGAGTAAAACATGGAAGGATCCAGATGTGCACAATGTGAATTTGTGAGAATTACATGTCATCCCCATCCAACTCTATTTTTTTGTTGTGAGTGCAATCAGATTTTCCCAGTGTACACATTAAAAGCAGTTGTTTCTAAAAGAGTTCACGTTTATAATTTAAATAGAGAAATAAAAATGGATTGGAATTTTATCTGAGTCCCTTTTTATGTTTGTTGTGAATGATCCTGGTATGTAAAAACTCGTAAAATTCTAGTTTGACAGAATGTGAATCTTCTTCACTTATGGGAAGATGAGGTGTCACACCAATGTATTATGTTATTGTTTAGATTAGTGCCATATATAAAACTAAGCAATTTTATATCCCATATATAGGGCTTGATTTTAAAATTAGGCTCCCATTTTGAATCTGCAAATTGCGGCAAATAAAAATGATGGTATGTCTATTTTTATCTGAATACCTGGTTTGCTGTACCTGCACAATTGTAGGTGAAAAATGGGAGGCTGGATGGAGACTCCTTTAAAATTTAGCTTCTGAAGTTTCCCTTAAGCAACAGAAAGAAATTAAAATTCACATTATGTCTGATATGTCAAATATAACTGTATATAAATAGTTCATATACACTTTTGATAGTAATATGTATTTTTAGAACATGAGATGTAATCAGAAGAGAAAAGCACTCAATTTTTGTAGTAAATACTAAATATTTTTAAAAATGCCACTGAGGAATTATGACATTTTTATTTTACCCTTGGTGTGTGCTGTGATTAATATAATTCATTCTACCCTCAATTTGTGCACAGAACTACCATAGATGTCCATGGGAATCTTGCATGCAGAACAGGAAGAATATTACCCTATGTTCTGAGGCTATTGATAGTGTACAAATACAGAATAACAAAGAACAAGGAAAAATTACAATAAGGTATAATAATGAAGTTCTTGCTTGCACAGCCTTCATCAAGATGTATTTGACTAAATAGTCATATTTAATTACTTTAAAAACAAGTTATTAAGCCAGTATAGTCTACTTTGTTCCTTCTGTTCCTTATTTTTATTGTTAAAAATATGGGGGAAATTTGATTATACACTCATATGTGTTTTTATTGATATATGGAATGTCACAAATAAACAAGTTTCCAAAAATACTCATTGGCTTCTTCATTATCCATCATTATTGTCATTTTAAAAGTAATTGTCATTTTAAAAGTAGGTGATTAGCATTTGAAATATCAAAAACTGTCTAATTTTGTTTACTGGAATCTTGGACAGGACTTGGAGGATACACAATGGGCAAAGAGAGGATTTGTTTTGCATTGTATTCTTAAACCCACACAACCTTTTAAAAACTTATTAACAGGTATCTAATGCTTGTTGCTTTCCTTTCCCTAGAAATGAAAATTTCCATAGTAATGCATGCTGTATTGTCTAGAGCATGTCTCACTTTTTACTTTTCTGTCTCTTATCTTTCCTTCTGCTTTTCAGTGTACACGATTCTCTCTAAGGTGCACTCTGATCGGAATGTATACCCTTCTGCTGGAGTTCTTTTTGTTCATGTTTTGGAGAGAGAATACTTTAAGGGGGAGTTTCCTCCTTATCCAAAGCCTGGTATGGGATGCTTAGATCTTCCATGTTATAGAAAAAGATCATTTTTACTTTTAAATTCAAGATCTCAAATGTATCTAGAATACTTTGTGGAACAGTATTGAACATAAATCACTGCAACACTTTTAACTTTGGCTGACTCTTCTATACTGGTAAAGTAAGTGGATAATTTCAAGTGGTTTTAAATCTTAAGGCTTATGAACTACAGGTATGCATTGCTGTGCATCTTGAGAAGCCCAGTTATGGACTTTGAAATGTTCAGTAATGCATGTTATGAATCTAAGATTAGAATCTGGCACTTTTCTTTGCTAACCCATTAAATCTGTAGTTGTACAAGCTTAATTTTAATTTTAAAAAGATTGAGTCGTGATGTTTTTTGTAAAAAATGCCCCATTTGAGATTGTATCAGTTTCTTACAAAATAAATAATGATATTAACAATTTGTGTCAAAAAGCATCTTATACATTTTATAAAATAACTTTAAATACACAAGGAACATTTACAATTAAAAATTTAAATGTCTTTAGCATAGAGCAGTGATGATTATTTTATTTCAAAGAAAATGAAAGCTCCCTTGGTTTCAATCCTATTTTGTTTCTACATGCAGTAACTTTTTTAAATTGTAAAGCAGTCTTTTGTCATAGAAAGGGCTATATTTTCATAAGTATAGTATTTTGACTTACATCCATGAAGTAAAACTAAAGGAAGATCATTAGCAAGATAGAAAAGATGTTTTTGAGATGAACTCAACCCTTATATGAAGATAAAGTACATTTCCCCCCACTTTGCTTATAAATTATTTAGCCTTCTAGAAGCAGGTAAAATTGAGAAGTTCTACTTCATTGACAATCTTTTTAATTTTGATTTTGGAAGATGGCACCTTGAAACCACATTGGGTTAAAAATAGCATTTGTTTGAATGTCATATGTTTAAATATTCTCAAGAGAAAAAATGACTTAATTTATTTGTATTTTCATTAATCTTCTTCTCTAAAGGTGGATGTCTTGACAGACCCTTACTCTTGAGTTTATGCTCCATGTGTGTGACTGCTGGAGCTACGCAGTTTTACTGCCAGCCAATAATAGGGTGAAATGTGCCTATCTCAGGCCCAATTTGTCCCCTCCTGAGATAACAACTTTGGGATGTAAATGGAAGGAATTTGAAAGTCCTTTCCTAATTGCATATTGTCTCTAGAACATTGCTACCTAAATTCCATGTCTGAGGCATGTTACACAGATGCAGTGTGAATCTCTGACTTGTACAGTTGTGACCTCATGATCCATTGAAATTGCCCCACCTGTAGGGATCATGAATACCACATTGATCATCAAGGCTCAACATTTGCAATATAGTCCTTGTTTAAAACTTGTGTATGACAAATCTGTTCTGCCAGATCCTTAGCATCATAGAGCCTTTCCTGGAAAAGGACTTTGAAACAAGCCACATCTCAGACTGTTGATGTATTAAAATTGACTTTGAGGAACAAACTGTGAAATGGGGTAATTTATGATGAACCCTAGCTACTGTAGCACCCTGGTGAGATAATTCCCAGAGAAGTGATGTTGGGAGGGCTTTCTGTGTTGCATGGTAACATGTTTGACTGATGTCTTAGCATATTGCTGCAGTATCGTGGTTGATTCTCAGTTTCCCCTGACACCCCGAGGTTTCATTGATTTTTGAAATTGGTTTGTGTTTAACTCTCCAAGTAAAATGAAGACCATCCATCATCTGGGTTATGAAAGTCCAAATCATACACTTTCTTTGTCCAGTCTCCCACTGTTGCTTCCTGGGTCTCTCTTCTTGAGAGTCTGCACAATCTTTTTCTGATGTTTCTCATTCTAGGTTACAGGTTCTCTTCCTGAAGTGTGTGCAAACTCTCACTCTGTTCATACAGCAAAGTGAATGGGAAGTTCTTCCTGCTTTCTACTGGCAGCTGTACACTTGGGATGAAAAGGAAACAAGTGCGTGGTTCAACCCCCCCCACCCCCCAACCCATGTTTCCTTCTCTGAGGCCTCTTCCTTCACTTGCTTCCACTTGTTCGTTGCCCTTCCCAACATCACCTAATAAAACAGTCTTAAATATCAAGCTTCCTCTTCTGGCACTTCTTCTCCAGCCATCCAGTTCTCTACATGGTACTTTTGATGGCCACAGCCCAGGGTACTTAGAATCATAGAATATCAGGGTTGGAAGGGACCTCAGGAGGTCATCTAGTCCAACCCCCTGCTCAAAAGCAGGACCCATAGCCAATTAAATCATCCCAGCCAGGGCTTTGTCAAGCCTGACCTTAAAAACTTCTAAGGAAGGAGATTCCACCACCTCCCTAGGCAACGCATTCCAGTGTTTCACCACCCTCCTAGTGAAAAAGTTTTTCCTAATATCCAACCTGAACCTCCCCCACTGCAACTTGAGACCATTACTCCTTGTCCTGTCCTCTTCCACCACTGAGAATAGTCTAGAACCATCCTCTCTGGAACTACCTCTCAGGTAGTTGAAAGCAGCTATCAAATCCCCCCTCATTCTTCTCTTCTGCAGACTAAACAATCCCAGTTCCCTCAGCCTCTCCTCATAAGTCATGTGTTCCAGACCCCTAATCATTTTTGTTGCCCTTCGCTGGACTCTCTCCAATTTATCCACATCCTTCTTGTAGTGTGGGGCCCAAAACTGGACACAGTACTCCAGATGAGGCCTCACCAATGTCGAATAGAGGGGGATGATCACGTCCCTCGATCTGCTCGCTATGCCCCTACTTATACATCCCAAAATGCCATTGGCCTTCTTGGCAACAAGGGCACACTGCTGGCTCATATCCAGCTTCTCGTCCACTGTCACCCCTAGGTCCTTTTCCGCAGAACTGCTGCCTACCCATTCGGTCCCTAGTCTGTAGCTGTGCATTGGGTTCTTCCGTCCCAAGTGCAGGACCCTGCACTTATCCTTATTGAACCTCATCAGATTTCTTTTGGCCCAATCCTCCAATTTGTCTAGATCCCTCTGTATCCTATCCCTCCCCTCCAGCGTATCTACCACTCCTCCCAGTTTAGTATCATCCGCAAATTTGCTGAGAGTGCAATCCACACCATCCTCCAGATCATTTATGAAGATATTGAACAAAACCGGCCCCAGGACCGACCCCTGGGGCACTCCACTTGACACCGGCTGCCAACTAGACATGGAGCCATTGATCACTACCCGTTGAGCCCGACAATCTAGCCAGCTTTCTATCCACCTTATAGTCCATTCATCCAGCCCATACTTCCTTAACTTGCTGACAAGAATACTGTGGGAGACCATGTCAAAAGCTTTGCTAAATTCAAGATACAATACATCCACTGCTTTCCCTTCATCCACAGAACCAGTAATTTCATCATAGAAGGCGATTAGATTAGTCAGGCATGACCTTCCCTTGGTGAATCCATGCTGACTGTTCCTGATCACTTTCCTCTCATGTAAGTGCTTCAGGATTGATTCTTTGAGGACCTGCTCCATGATTTTTACGGGGACTGAAGTGAGGCTGACTGGCCTGTAGTTCCCAGGATCCTCCTTCTTCCCTTTTTTAAAGATTGGCACTACATTAGCCTTTTTCCAGTCATCCGGGACTTCCCCCGTTCGCCACGAGTTTTCAAAGATAATGGCCAATGGCTCTGCAATCACAGCCGCCAGTTCCTTTAGCACTCTCAGATGCAACTCATCCGGCCCCATGGACTTGTGCATGTCCAGTTTTTCTAAATAGTCCCTAACCACCTCTTTCTCCACAGAGGGCTGGCCATCTATTCCCTATGTTGTGATGCCCAGCACAGAAGTCTGGGAGCTGACCTTGTTCGTGAAGACAGAGGCAAAAAAATCATTGAGTACATTAGCTTTTTCCACATCCTCCGTCACTAGGTTGCCTCCCTCATTCATTAAGGGGCCCACACTTTCCTTGGCTTTCTTCTTGTTGCCAACATACCTGAAGAAACCCTTCTTGTTACTCTTAACATCTCTCGCTAGCTGCAGCTCCAGGTGCGATTTGGCCCTCCTAATTTCATTCCTACATGCCCGAGCAATATTTTTATACTCTTCCCTGGTCATATGTCCAACCTTCCACTTCTTGTAAGCTTCTTTTTTATGCTTAAGATCCTCTAGGATTTCACCGTTAAGCCAAGCTGGTCGCCTGCCATATTTACTATTCTTTCGACACATCGGGATGGTTTGTCCCTGTAACCTCAACAGGGATTCCTTGAAATACAGCCAGCTCTCCTGGACTCCTTTCCCCTTCATGTTAGTCCCCCAGGGGATCCTACCCATCCGTTCCCTGAGGGAGTCGAAGTCTGCTTTCCTGAAGTCCAGGGTCCGTATCCTGCTGCTTACCTTTCTTCCCTGTGTCAGGATCCTGAACTCGACCAACTCATGGTCACTGCCTCCCAGATTCCCATCCACTTTTGCTTCCCCTACTAATTCTTCCCGGTTTGTGAGCAGCAGGTCAAGAAAAGCTCCCCCCCTAGTTGGCTCCTCTAGCACTTGCACCAGGAAATTGTCCCCTACGCTTTCCAAAAACTTCCTGGATTGTCTATGCACCGCTGTACTGCTCTCCCAGCAGATATCAGAAAAATTAAAGTCACCCATGAGAACCAGGGCATGCGATCTAGTAGCTTCCGCGAGCTGCCGGAAGAAAGCCTCATCCACCTCATCCCCCTGGTCCGGTGGTCTATAGCAGACTCCCACAACTACATCACTCCTGTTGCTCCTTCCTGTTGTTACTTCCAAGATACTTCCTGTCCACAGCTCCTACTCATTATCTGCATCCTCCTGCTGTGAGAAAAAAGAGCTGCTTATTTACCTTATTCCCAGAATACCTTGTCTGGAGTCTCAAACTTTCATCACTTTAGGAACTACAGATCACAGCATTCCTGGGGTCTGTGCTGAAATCAGGAGCAGAACAGTGTTCAATGAGGAGCTTACCCTTAAAAGGCCAGCACACCATATTTAAGTGTTATTTTACTGGTTAAAAATTGTCTCAGAGAAATCTTGTTGTCCTCCTGTCTTTTAGGCTATCACAAATTTCTTAAAATAAAATCCTTTTACTTTTCTGTCCTGTGGCACAAGCTTGTTGGCAATGTTTGCCTCTTTCCAATCTTCTGAAATGGGTACATTTGAAAGAGTTTCTCTAAAGCAAATCTGTTGCCCAGTTGTCAGTGTTGAGGACCTGTGTCTTGACATGACCACACATGGTAAGGTGAGGAAAAAAACAGAGTCTCCCTCTGACACTAAGGTCCTCAGAGGTAGACATTGTCTCTAGAGCCTTTAAAAAAATTAAAGGTTTTTGTTGCTTGGAAATACTGGGCTTTTGCTTCTGTTGGTAGGGAGGCTGGATGATTTGGTGTTCTGGGAAACCCAAGCCCCTATAAAGCCAGGACCTAGCAATTGATGGGTGGAAGCTGAAGGGGTCATTAGGGCTCTAAGACAGTACAAGCACACTGTACTCTGCTCTTGGCCATACATTTCAAATATGGGATTCCTGCCAATTACACATGCTGAAGCATGGACACAGGAGTGTGGCTCTCTCAAACTGCACTTTTATACTGATAATAAGAAATTAAAATTTTATTATTTCCCTATGGAACTGCAATGATGTGTTACAAAACATTATAGTAATTGTGTTTATATGACAAAACTGAACTCAAAATTATTTAATGGAAACTTCAAAAACAAATTGCATAAACTTCATTTTTTGAAAACATTCTAATATTGTGTATCTTATATAGGTGAGATAAGTAATGATCCTATAACATTTAACACCAACTTAATGGGTTACCCTGACAGACCTGGATGGCTACGCTACATTCAGAGGACACCATACAGTGATGGAGTATTGTATGGATCACCAACTATAGAAAATGTGGGCAAACCAACCATCATTGAGGTACTTCCTTTAAAAGCATTAGAAGGTTTTATTTCATTTTTAAATCTTTATCCCTTAATATAAAATAGTGTGCAAAATAACTTCATAAACAATTAAATGAAGAACATCTAAATATTTAACTTTGCACTTTTCTTTCCCTTCAGTGCAAACAAATACAGTTGTTAAATCAATTAACAGAGTTTTTTATTTACTTTTTATCACTTAGTGGTAAATTATTCATGTTTAATAACTAACACCAAATGTTTTCCTATTCTAATCTCCTAATTACTAATGCTGACAAAAATCACTATTTGTTGTATCTATGTCACTAATATGAATATAATTCCAAAATTTTAAAAGTACTAATTATATAGTGAATAGCAGTTGAAAGACAAAAGCTGTATGATTCTCAGTCATGCCTTTGGTCCCACACCACAGATTAGGAAGTCAATGGAGCAACTCTGCAGCTCACAACATTATGAAAAAATTGCTACATTAACTTGCCAGTTCTACCAATTTTGCTTGGACAGCCATATATTTGTGTCAAACTCTTGATTAATTGCTTCTCTTGGTTTTATTAACTTGTTCTTCTCCAAAGATAAAACTGTAAACAGCAGCCTAGGTTCTGATTCTACAAACAGTTCCACATGTGGTTAGTTTTATGTACATGTGTAACGTTCCCCTCTAGTGTTATCTGGACTGGTGATCTGCTAGTTCACCCCAATCCTTGACTCTGGGAGCCAGCCTCAGCCTGCTCTGCTGTGAGAACACCCACTCCTGAATTGTTCATGCACAGCCTCTGGCATATAAACTGTTCGTTGGATTGTGCAACCGAATGACACTAGCTAATATCTCTGGTCCCAGACACAACTCTAGGAACCTCCGTCTTGTAGTGTCCAGTTATGCCCGCTAGATGCTGCAAACTTATATGAGTTTGTCAATTTAACAAAGAAATTGATGTGTACCAGGCTTGTTATCGCAAGGGGAGTCTCTGACATGCTTCAAACCAAACACACTGCTTCAGGTAGAATAAACAAACAGATTTATTAACTATAAAATAGATTTTAAGTGATTATAAGTCAAAGCATAACAAGTCGGATTTGGTCAAATGAAATAAAAGCAAAACTCATTCTAAGCTGATCTTAACACTTTCAATGCCCTTACAAACTTAGATGCTTCTCACCACAGGCTGGCTGGTTGCTCTTCAGCCAGGCTCTCCCCTTTGATCAGTGCTACAGTCACTTGGTGTGGTGTCTGTAGATGTAAGTGGAAGAGAGAGGAAGAGCATGGCAAACATCTCCTCCTTTTATCATGTTCTTTCTTCCCTTTTGGCTTTGCCCTTCCCCCTTCAGGGTCAGGTGAGCATTACCTCATTGCAGTCCCAAACTGGCCAAAGGAAGGGGGATGACTCACTTGAGAGTCCAACAGATCCTTTTGTTGTTGCCTAGGCCAGCATCCTTTGTTCCTGTGAGACTGGGCTCAGTATGTTCCATACCTGCCCTGATGAGGTGTGAACTGCCTCTCTGCTCTTGGAGAGTTTTTGCCTGGGCTTATTTTAAGCCATGAGGATACATTTTCAGCCTCATAACTACATACTTTGAAATTATAACCTATAACATTACTGTAACAACAATGATCAGTGCATCATGAGCCTTCTGAAGATACCCAACATGACAAACTTTGCATTGGATACCACACAATCATTTTACAAGGATGAACATGTGGGTGCTATGTGTTCCCCCGAGGTACAGAGCGTTACAATATGGTTAGTCCAATTGATTTCAGTGGCACTAATCACATGCATACTATTAACCATGTGCAGAATAGTCTGCGGGATCAGAACCCTGGATTGCTTAAAGAAACTATTTTTAAAATTGTTCTTTTTTGAGCCGTGTCTGTTTCCAAACCTGCATCAGGATCTGCGAGGATGGATTCTTGCTGCTATATAGAGTACCACTGAAGTCAGTGTAACTTTGCACAGGTACAAGGATCTTTGCACAGATGCATTAGCAAATCCCAGTATAGTTCTGAAGATTCTACGTGAGCACAGAAATATGCTAGTGATACCAATGCATGATTGGGTCCTACATTTTGATGTGAGCTATATATATATATATATATATATAGTTCACCCATCTCTACTCTTTGACTTTATCATACTTAGGTCAATAAAAGAAGAAAAAAATACAGGAAAAAAACAAACAAACAAACTGCTCCCTCTTGTTCCTGAAATGGAGCTGAGAGAGAAAAGAATACAGGACTAGGGTAGGCCAACCACTTGTATGTAAATATATATATATAGCTCACATCAAAATGTAGATATATATTTTATACAGCTTAGGTTTAAAATAGGTTACTTGTTACCAAAGCTTGATTTTATTTGATTTGATTTACTCCCTAGTAAATAGGTAAATGGTTTTTTGCATCTTTTATAGGAGTTTTAAATATATAGTTTGTGATGTAGGTGTAATAAGTGATTTATATATCTTTTGGATTTATTGTTAAACTGAAATTACAAATAAAAAAAAAAGAAAGAATGCCACGCTAAATATTAGTGCTTCAGTTAGTTAGTTTTTCAGCAGATTTAATTTTGCAGTGCTAAATTAATTTCTGTTTAAAAGCTCTCAAATTACAGATTAATTTTCAATTATTTTTAATTAACTTCTTTTACATAGAGTACGCTATTTTTACAATTTAAGCTTTATTCTCTTCACTTACATAAATTTGCCTGTAACCAATATGCCAGACCACTATCCTCTCCTCATTCCAATCCCTTTCAAGACCCACTTTTACGGGGACACCATCAAGAAGTGAGTTAGTCATTTATTGGTTTATTTTAACTAATGTGCTCCACTATGCTATTCCTACCCTTTCCTGAGAGACTGCATAATTTCATTCATGTAACCACTGTCCTGCCCTCCACCTTCTGATATTTTGTTACCTCCCTTTGTTGAATCATGTCAAGCTAGATTGTCAGATCTTTTGGGCAGAGACCATCTGTTTCTGTTTGTATTATGAGACACCTATATTCTTGAGGGTAATGTGGGGAAAAGAAAGGAGAGGGAAAAATACATAATTCTGATAGACCATATTCCAAAATTCTTATGAGTTCAGTCATGGTATAACTTTTCAACACAGTCAAAGAATAATCACTGCGGACTATGTTTGACCATCAGATGAATACCACAGATCCTTCATGCATTTAAAAGGTTCCTTTCTGTGTATTTGTACATAATTACATCAGAGACATATTTTTCCAGAAATAAGGAACATATACTCTGCATTTCCCACTAGCTTTCAAACCACCTAAAGATAAAGACCCTGGCATTCTTATTATTTGTATTATGATAGTGCCTAGAAGCCCCATTCATGGATCAAGGTCCCATTGTGCTAGGCACTGTACAAATATAAACCTAAAAGATGGTCACCGTCCCAAAGACCTTACAGTGTTTTTTCCTATAAATATCACCAGTTAGGTGAGCTCCACCAGGAGCTAAGCATGAATAGAAACCTTGCAGCCTTCAGGACAAAACACAGAACCCATCTCTACTCTTTGACTTTATCATACTTAGGTCAATAAAACAAGAAAAAAATACGGGAAAAAAAAACGAAACAAACTGCTCCCTCTTGTTCCTGAAATGGAGCTGAGAGAGAAAAGAATACAGGACTAGGGTAGGCTTACCACTTGTATGTAAATATGTTATCCATGTGGCATCTGAGAATATTAGTGCAGTATAAATAACTATATAGACTAGTTTGAAAATCCCAATAAGCTGTCTTTATTTAATACAGTGCTCCATCAAAGCCAGTAGGCCTGCTCATTCATCTTTCATGTTTCTACATTTATAGTCCATAGAGGTTATTTTTTTAGTATTCAAAAATAAAAATAATTATATATATTAGTGAATACTTTTAATTTAAGAAAAACAATACTTTTCTATGCTGAATTAATTAATTTTGGTTTTCATATTTGTACTACCATTTTAGTATCATCTGTTTTTATTCCAGATCACTGCTTATAACAGGCGCACCTTTGAGACTGCAAGGCATAACTTGATCATCAATATAATGTCAGCAGAAGGTATGTACAGAAGAGATTTTGCAGCACTCTAGATTGTATAAGTGATAAATTGTTAAGATTACATGATTTTTAAGATTTGATAAAATATTGTCAAACTTTAAGCAGTGTTTCAACTAAAAGCATGAGTGGTGAGGAGGAGGTAAGGGAAACTTCCCTGTCCTGATTCATCCTGTTTGTTATTTTTTGCTAAACCATTTTAACCAGGGCTGATTTATGCCCTGTTCTTAAAAATTCTTCTGAAGAGCTAATTTTTTTGCTTTTGGAACCAGATTGTACCAAACTGTATATTTTCTACACCTATGCCACATACAAGGGATATCGCTCTTCTTCTGCAAAGTATTTGTTTTGAAACCAATAGTAGTGAGAGCTGTATTTGAGAAGTGCATCAAGCCTTTGAAGTTAAAAAGACAAAGAAACATGCAGGGATGTCAGCATTATTTTGCATATCAGTTGGTTAATGAAAGATATATCTAACTCAGGGATCGGCAACCTTTGGCACGCAGCCCGTCAGGGAAATCCGCTGACAGGCTGGGACGGTTTGTTTATCTGCAGCATCCGCATGTTCAGCCGATTGCAACTCCCACTGGCCTGGCACGGAGAACTGCGGCCAGTGGGATCTAGGATCAGCCGAACCTGCGGATGCTGCAGGTAAACAAACCGTCCCAGCCAAACAGAGGATTTCCCTGATGGGCCACGTGCCAAATGTTGCTGATCCCTGATCTAACTGGAGGATTAGACATTTAAAGCATAGAATGAAAAACTTTTTGCAAAGTTAGGGACACTGGGTCAAATTAAGCAGTGACATAATCAAGTACTGCTTCATTGAGGTAAATTGAGTTATACAATTTTGTCATCCGCAATAGTGGATGTTGGATTTTGAAATGGAGGCAGGGAGGCCCAATATGCTTTTTTAATGTCTTTATGAAAGACAATGAATTTCATAATATCAAATGCTTTAGACAAGCAATGACCTTAAAGATTCAGGTTGCCTTGCAAAACAGCTAGTTGCATGTTCTATCAACCGTCATTGATAAAAATTCTCCAAATAAATAGAATGAGCTAAATTCTAATTTCGTTTATATTGGTGAAAATCTTGAGCAGCTCTGAAGTCGGTGGAACTGCTCCAGACCTACAGTGTTGTTGAGTTCAGAATCTGGTTCTCTGGGCCACATTCAGCAGAAATGTAGATGAGAGTGCAGGTTAGTCAAAAAAGGAGCATAAGTGGTAAAGAAATGTAATTTCCATTGATTTGGTATTCAATGGATAGGCAAAACAAGTGTCATACACAAAAGAAATTGTCCCAAGAGAAGCACATAACAGAATGTTTTATGAGATAAGGTAAAGGGCTGCATTCTCTTCCACACTTTTCCTGTTATATATTCTCGTTGGCTCTCCCTGCAAATAAAAATCCTTACCTACTGCTGCTTTTTCTGGGAGCAGCTTCTCTACATTCTTTTAGTTTATTATGTAAACACATTGGATATGTTATCTCCTATTCCACATACAGAACTCCTATTCTTGTCACTGGCAGCGTAATACTTACATTGAGTAGAGAATATGTCCCATTATCAGAAAAACAGAGGGGTTCCACAAAGCAATAGTCGCTTTTTTCTTCTTCCTTTTCAAATTGTCATAGGGACCAACAGTGTAGTGTGCTGAGCATTTTGGCCTCAATCCAGCAATGCATTTAAGCACATACTTAACTTTATGCACGTGGTTAGTTCCATTAACTTTAATGGAACTGCTCATATGCTTAACTTATAGCATGTGCTTAAGTGCATTGCAGAATCAGAACGATGGCTCAGGGCACTGGAATACCAAGCCTTCATTCCCTAGATTTTAAAAGCAACGCACAGGCTTTTAACTTCGATATGCCTCTTGAATTTACTACTTATTTTATTGCTAAATCCCCACAACATATAGAGGTCAATAGCTGATGTATCACCAGAAGAAGAAAATCCCCCCCAAATGCATTTAGGTAATTGTGAAATGATTCACTGCAGTTAAATCGTAATGCTGAATGTGTGACAATCAATTCCACAGTTATAGACAGATGTCATAAAAACTCAGAAAGAAAACTGGTATGTGATCACAAAGCATCTATCTATTCTAAAAGTAGCAAAAGGAAAAATGCCAGGCAACAATTTTTTGCATTCATTTTTTCTCCTCAAATTTTCTGCATTGTGAACATCCCTTTCATCTTCATAATGTTACTATGTTGATTTGTACAAAATACCCTATCATACTTAACTAATAACGTCTGTTTTATCATGAAAGATTGTGAAAGTCCTGTTTTACTAAATTTAAAAGCCAGTGTAAAACTAAATAAATAAACCAAGTGAAAAAATCAAATAGCATCTCCAAGAAGAGTGGAAAGGATTTAAAAATGAAGCATATTGATATTCATTTAGGAAAACCTGTGTCCTTCAATACAGTTTGTTACCCGATTGCAGTATGTAACAGTGTAAGTAAAATATTCAGAAGTCTGTAAAATCAGAAAACAAGACATAAATACATGTAATTTGAGTTAATGAGACCTGTAAAATGAAAATTCCTGTGGTTTTTCTTTAATATTTGAAAAAAGGCTTTTTATTTTATCAGAGCTCTGACCACTACTCCTGGCCTCCTCTCGGTGCTTTTAGAATATCTGTCTATGGAGAAAAAATGAAATGTGCATATTGAATTTATGAGTGTGCACAGGATGCAAATGCACAATGCCACAAAAATAGTGGCACACAAAACTGCAGCACCCAGGTGTAGCAGACAATGTTCTGTGGTAACTTTTACATTTAAAAAAGTAGATGTTTCAGGTTAACCAAGTTGCAAACAAGTCACAGTTCAAAACTGAAAACAATATAAGTCACCTTAAAAATACCAACACCACTGATCTGGCTTAAAAGTAGAACTGGGCAAACTTTTTTAGGCAAATTGAGTTTTCACCGAAAAATCTGTTTTGGTCAACCTGAAGAATCTATGATTCTTCATAGAATCTATGATTCTATGAATTTGACACTCATAATTTTGACCATTCACAAAACAACCAGAGGAAGAGGAGGTGAAGGTTGTGGTGGTAATGGTCATGATGCTGCTGCTTCTGCTACTGCCCTTATAATATTGAGCCCAGTGGTAAGGGCACTCACCTGGGATATGGGAGATAGAGGTTTGAATTCCTGCTCTAAAATATACCTGATATGGAATTTCTCAATTAATTGAAAAGTCAGAAAAAAATCAGATTTGGTTTGACCAAACTGATTCATTTTTTTAACATATTTCAGAACTGCCATCCAGCTGAAAAATCAGTTATTTGCCCAGCTCTCCTTAACATTTAGCAAACCATTCTAATTGTGGGTGTGGACAGTTTGTGCATTTTGAAGTTACTGATTACTTAGACAGGAGGAAACTAAAGTGGGACCTACAATATAGGCTGTCATCACCTTCAGTTTCAACATGGAATTGTGGCCTATTGCATTTACAGGTTCCAGCCTACAATATTTCATCTTGAATGAATCATCTCATGCCACTCAGGTCAGGGTATGAAACATTGCAGGCTGGGACTTGTAGTCATTGCAGGCCACTCCTCTTTGCCCAAGAGTAGGGTAGCTGCAATTTTCTTCACTTAATGCAGATTAAGTGTTGTCTTCAGGGGCAGATCCTGTGCAGATGTAAATTGTCATAGCTTCATTGAAGTCACAGCTCTATGATAATTTACACCAGCTGAGGATCAGCCCTCAGGTTATTTGCAGGTTGCCAATAGCTCCATAAATAGGGCAAAGCTTGAATGTTTCTTTAAAAAATAGTTGGTGCTATTATAAATAAACATAGTTTGATAATTAAACAAGAGTGGCCAGATCAGATTCAGAATATAACTTGATATCATAAAGGATTTTAGGAAGGTGCCTCCTCAGTCTTCTTTCATAAATCAGTAGTGCAGTACTCAACCACCATTTTAGATCTTTTGTAGTAAAGACATAACTCTTTCCTTCACAAACTAGATTTTCCTTTACCATATCAAGCGGAGTTCTTCATAAAGAATATGAATGTAGAAGAAATGTTAGCAAGTGAGGTTCTTGGAGATTTTCTTGGAGCAGTGAAAAATGTGTGGCAACCAGAGCGTTTGAATGCTATAAACATCACCTCAGCTCTAGACAGGGGAGGCAGAGTTCCACTTCCTATTAATGATATGAAAGAGGGGTAAGCACATGCATATATATCTATATCTATATATATCTAATCTGTTTATAAGTCTTTAGCATTCAAAATAAGTGTCACTGAAGTGTTTAATGTTCCTTTCAGGCATTCAAGACTTTTTGGAAGTTACTTTTTAAAGAACAAACTTTTGGAAATTGTTATTACATTTACAAATACATAAGTTCCCAGAGGCCCCAGATGGGGGGGATCAAGGTCTTTTGACCTTAGGTGCTGGGAATTTACAATCAAAGAAACATTAACAGTTTTCCCTGCTTACAAAACAGGTGGAAGGAAATAAGACTCTTAATCTACAATTCCAGTTTTATATCCCAGTAACTGCAGAGCGTAATTTTGATTCATGACTCTGAAGTTTTACAACATAGACCTCACAAAACTTAAAATTAGCTCAGCTGCATTCTGTTCCAAACATCACAGGCACATTTAAAGCTACATCTTCCAATACAATAGCTCTTAAATTTAGAGTTCACTGATTAATATTGCTTGGGAAGGGGCTCGTGCCTTTGCATTAGAAGTTTTAGGAGTTTTTTTTTTTAATATACAGATAAGAACTTACAGGAGAAATATGCCTTGAGCAAAATTTTCCTTTTTTAGTGTTTTTTTGATGGAGAGGCTTCTTGAAGTCTGTCGTTACAGTTGAACAGCAGCTAAAGAAAATCTGGCACCCAACCCCCAAGTAAGGTATCAGTGAAGTTTGTTCATTGAACAATGTCTTCAAGGTCCCTGGATTCTGTGACTTTCTGGTGCAGCAGATTATATTCTGTAATAGTTTCATTTATTCATTTCAATTGAGATAAGTATGAAAATGAATAATAGTATCAGTACAGTAGCCCTTGTTTTATTTACTTTGACACTAAAATCAGTTTGTTTTGTCCCACACTTTGCTTTCAGTATGTTTCAAAATTTTGTAATTGACAGTGCATAACTGTATTGTGGAATTTGTTGAGAGAAGCTGGATGTTTTGGCAGGTTGGCATCAATAATAAATTGCAGTTCTAATTTAAAGCATTTTCAAATACATTTTACAATTTATACGTGGGAAGAAGTGAATTTTCAAGAATGCTATGCTGAGCAAAATTCTCTTATATGAAATGGAACTATTTTAACAGAACTTCCTAAAGTACTTTATCAATGATTTATTGCTGTTTTTACCTCAAAATCCTGAACTTTGAGCTTCATAAATTTTTTTAATGAAAACTGACTACTGCTAGTCATAATCACACAGTACACTCAAGCAGTAGTAGGAATGTAATAAGTAGCTAGAGAAACAGTTTGGTCCCAGTTCATTGTGGCTACATTGGAAAAAGTGATGTCATAGCCTATAAAACACAATTAGCTGTTTTAGAAATGAACTATGGTGATTATTGGAATGCACAGGACTAGACTGTGTTCATCAGATATTTATTTATTAATGGATATCCTGGTGACACTTTGTCACACATCTTTTTCTGCAGTGTCTATGTTATGGTTGGTGCAGATGTTCCATTCTCCTCATGCTTACGAGAAGTGGAAAATCCACAAAATCAGCTGAGATGCAGCCAAGAAATGGAACCTGTAATAACGTGTGATAAAAAATTTCGTACTCAGTTCAATATTGACTGGTGTAAAATCTCTTTGGTGAGTTACTTTCCTTGCCCTGCATCAGCAGAGTATTTACTGGCAGCAGTTCTTCTTTAGAGCACTTCTGGGATGGCATGTTTCTTGACCCCCTTTTTTGGCAGTGCTTGCAGCAAGAGAAGTGAATAGAAAACTTATTTGCCATCTTTTGATTTATATTTGCCTGCACAATTAAAAGACAAATCACACTTCCAAATTTAAAAAAAATGAAGACTATGTTAAAATGAAGACTGAATTTAACAAAAGCCCCCACAAAACTTCCAGTTATAAATAAGTTGTGCCAAACAAATTTAATTACCTTGTGAAGTACAAAAGGAATGTTGAAGACCTATACAGCACTTGGACTTCAGTAAGGCATTCATTATAGTGCCACATAAAAACCTGTTTAAACACTGGATACATAGTAATATACCATTAAATGGATTAATTTAAGAGCTGATTCACAGTATCAGGAAGTGTTTATTAATCACAAGACTTTTAACGAAGAACAATGTCATGTGATTCACCACAAAAGGCCAGACATTTAAACCAATGCAACTTTATTTCATTAATGATCTAGATGATTGTAAAATTAACATTCATTGAATATACCAGCAATATCAAAACTGGACAAGTAGCAGGAGAATGATGTTACAAAACTGCGAAGTCACAGGGAAAGATTAGAACAGTCAACTGAATGCAATGAGATGAAATTCAGTAATAATAAAAGTAAAGTTATATTTCTGGTAACAAGCAACTTAGGCCATGCCTACATGACCACTTATGTCAACAAAACTTATGTCGCTCAGGGATGTGAAAAAAAACACCCCCTGAGCGACATAAGTTTCACTGGCATAAGTGGTAGTATGCACAGTGCTATGTCCGCAGGAAAGCATTTCCCGCCAACATAGCTATCGTCTCTTGTTGAGGGTGGTTTAATTATGTCAACGAGAGCACTCTCTCCGATTGGCATAGAGCGGCTACACAGGCGATCTTACACAGGCGCAGCTGCATTGGTACAGTTGTGCCACTGTAAGGTCTCTAGTGTTGACTTGGCTTTAGATAAAAATTGCTGGTGGGCAAGGAAGCAAACCTCTGTAAACAGTGAATTGATGAAAAATTTGGGAGTGACAGCAGATAAACTAAATACGAATCTCATGATTTAGTGTCATTGGGAGGGAAAAAAGTCATGGCAATTACAATTTGGTATCAATGTGCATTCAGTTCTTGTTCAAGTAGATGTAGCCCCGTATTCCATTTAGGTGCATGTGCACACAGAGCAGAGCCGGAGAATTTTGGCAGCAATACCATTAGAAGGGGTGACACTTGCGCCTCCTGGCCAAAGTCCCTCCCCTGACTATATGAGGCGGTGCCACTACAACCCCCTTCAGTTCCTTCTTACTACCCGTGGCTGGAGTTGGGGTTCTGTATAGTTCCTAACCTCACAATCTCTCTATGTCTTAGTGACTTTTCTAGTTGTGTATAGTTAATTAGTACCCTTAGTATAGTGACAGTTAGATTTAGTGTTAGTTAGCTTTAGTTTAACTAGGGTTTAAACATTGTCTGTCATGTGGGGGAGCGATCCCCAACAACAATTTCCATACATGGTGCTTGCTGTGCTTAAGCGAAGCCTATGTCAAGGAGTGGTATTCAATTTGAAAATCATTCACAAAATGGACTTGGGTGGCAAGGGATCTTCATCTAAAGCAGCACTTGCTCGACCAGGCAAGGCGGCCTGCTTCTGCACTGAGGTTGGATTGGAGATTGCCCTTGGGTTCTGAAGGTGCTGCCACTTCAGACTCTGGAGCTGGTGCCTCTCCAAAGAGACAAGGGAGTCGCTTTCAATCAAGTGCGCCCAGGAAAAGGTCACATAAGACTGATCGAGGTCACTCCAAATCACGTGGGGACTCATCTGCCTCCTCCAGAAGGAGTCTGGACTAGCATGGTGTGAATGCCGCTGCACAGGATGCAGCAGGTCCCATTAACTGTTCCCAGGTACCAAGCAGGAAGGTCAGAGACCCCGTACTGTCAATTCTGGTTCTGGCTCCAGGGCATCCGTTGAGTCCAGTACCAATGAAGGTGATGCCAGCACCAGCTTTTTCTGTGTCAGCATTGTATAGGGCAGCAACTGACTTCCTCTGCCTTTATGTCCTGACCTTTCCCTTGGTCCAGGACTTTGCCAGGCCCGCATAATTTATATCCAGTGAGTGAACCCGTGAGTCTGTCAGCCCTGTACCCCAATGTTTCCCTTCCACAGTAGAAGTCTGGTGGGGGCCGGGATTGGCACAAGGGAACTCCTGGGCACCGGAAACTTCTTTGGCACCCCTGCTGTCAGCGCCACCAATGTGTTACCATGGTGGCACTCACCGCCCTCCACTTCAGCAGTCTTTCACCTTGGTACCAGTGCCAACTTCAGGATTGGCTCTGTTTCTGGCACTGGAAATGATGGAGACATACTTGGTGCCGGCAGCACCATTTCCACCCTCTGCATCTGTTCATTCTGGGCTACGGGTGAGTCAGACTGGTTGCTCTATCCCTCAAGGCTAGCTCCACCTTATCCCTGAAGCCCAGGACTCTTTGGCGTTCAGGTTGAGATCTTTCTCCTCTTGCACTTCATCACCTGACCCTCAGTGGGGGCCATTCATGGGATGGGGCCTACTGATCACCAATGACTTACCCATATCAGTGGCCTCCATGGAATGCATGGGATACGCCTCAGTCATGTAGCTCCCACTTCCCGTCTTGCTCTAAGGCAAGATACTGGGCAGGTCTGTGGTGGTGACCATTGATCTGCCACAGGCCCAAGGTGCACCTTCCTCCTGAAGAGCCTTCAGTATCATCCTATCTAGATCTGTCAGTCCTGTAGCAGGATTTGGCCCTGGCACAGTTAACTACTTCATCTTCATCCCCAGACGATTCCACAGTGCCTGGCTCTTCCTCTCTGTTGGTACCAGAGGATTTCAAGGTGTACCAGGACCTTCTGTGGTACCTGACTGCTTTCTTGGATATTCAAGGAGAGTTCTTGAAGGAGAATACCCATAAGTTGTTGGATATCCTGCAGCAGTATGCCCCGGGGAGAGTCGCTGTCCCTATTAATGATGTGCTCCTAGAGCCTGCTAAGGTTCTCCGGAACATGCCAGCTTTGGTATTGCCTACTGTAAAGTGCATGGAGAAATGCTTCTTCATTCTGGTGCAGGGATTTGAGGATTTTTACTCACATCTGGCCCTAGATTCCCTAGATGTAACTGCAGTGAATGATAGAGCCTGGCAGGGCAGATTTAAATCCACTCCCAAGGATAAGGACTAAATGGATGAACATGACAGGTAAGAAGATTTACATCTTCTCTTTCTTGCAAATATGCATTGTTAATCAGAAGGTATTCCTGTCCAAATCTGATTTTGTGAACTGGATGGCTATGTCTAAGTTTGTGGACCAGCTGCCTGAGGAATTTCAGGCATTTATCACTGACGGCTGCTTGGTAGCTAAAGCTTTATTGCAGTCCACACTGGATGTCACGGATACATCACCAGAGTGATGGCCTCAGCAGTGACCATGAGAAGGGCAGCCTGGCTGTAAAATTCAGGCATTCTCCCTATGTGCAACCGAGTGCTTTTTTTTGGACAAGATAGATGAGACTCTGCACTCCTTCAGGGACTCTAGTGCAGTGCAGAGGCACCACTACAGTGGTCAACAGTAATAGCATCATTCTCAGTGCACATTTGGGCAGCCTCCCCACCCCCATCCTAAACCCACAACAGTGGGGACTTCCCCAGAAAGGGGCATAGGTCCCAGAGGAGGCAGCATTTGGGACCAGGGTTTGGCCAGTCAACACACCTTCCCCCCGCACCCCTCACCTTTCCTCCCTGTTCTTCTGGACCATTTTGGTCCAGAGCAATATTCCAGTCATCACTGTCTTTTCCCCACCCCTACTGTGAAAGAGATCCAGCCTGTCCCCAAACAATGCTTGGGGTTTGATCACCACCAATAGCTGGGTCCTAAGCACCTTCTTAGGAGGGCTAGGCCCTCCAATTCCTTTCCAGGCTCCCTGCCACCTATCCTCCCTGTCCCTCTTCAGGGACCCCTCTTATGAGAGCAGATTCACAAGCTATTGGCTTTGGGGGTTGTGGAGGAGGGTTTGCTGGAACACCAGGGTCAGGGATTTTATTCCCAGTACTTTCTGGTGCCCAAATCCAAGAGAGTGATGAGACCCGTACTTGACCTGTACAGCCTCATGAAATATATAAGCTACATGAGGTTCTGAATAGTCACTCTGTCAACTATCTTTCCTGCATTCTCAGAACAACAGGTTTGCTGCTCTGGACCTTCAGGATGCCTACTTTCATGTGATGATTTTGCCAAGCCACAGAAAATGTCTTTGATTCATGATAGCAGAGCACCATTTTCAGTGTATGGTGCTTCCCTTTGGCTTCTCTTCTGCGCTTCAGGTTTTTACCAAATGCATGGTCGTAGGGATGGCATACTTCAGGAAGAAAGGATTGCACATTTTCTCATACCTGGACAACCGGTTACTGAGGAGCAGGCCCATAGAGGAAGTCCTTTCCCATGTTGACACTACACTGTGCTTGCTTGACTGTCTGGGTCTCATCCTAAACACCGAAGAGTCAATTTCCCACTCAGAAAATTGAATACATTGGAGCCCTCATAGACTCTATGAGTTTGAGAGCATTTGTGCCAACTGACCGTTTTCAAGTGATTCACCACCTTTTCCTAAGTCTGCAGTCTCAGCCTTCTATGACAGTCCAGATGTGCCTGAGGCAAGCAGACATGTGGCTCCAGTTTTCATGGTTACACCTTTGCACCCTTAAAATGTGGCTCAGGACAGTTTACTGTACCACTCTTTGGACAGAGTTGTCTGTCTCCTTCCACTGGTCCTGGACTCTTTGCAATGGTGGACACTTCTAGAGAATGTTTGTCAGGGAGTTCCCTTCATCTGGCCCTTATCAACCAGGTCTGTTGTCACAGATGCCTCCCTGATGAGCTGGGAAGCATATCTGGGGTT